GCAGAATACACATTCTTTTCAAGTGCACATGGAACTTTCTCAATGATAGACCATAAGTTGAGACACAAAACAAGTCTCAAATTTAAGATGACTGAAATCATATCGAGCATCTTTTCCAACCACAAAGGTATAAAACTAGAAATCAACTACAAGAAGAAAGCTGGAAAAATCACAAAAATGTGGAGACTGGACAACATGCTACAAAACAATCATTGGGTCAATGAAGAAATCAAAGGAGAAATCAAAAAATACCTGAAGACAAATGAAAATACAACATTCCAAAATCTATGGGATGCAGCAAAAGTAGTACTATGAGGGAATTTTATAGTAATACAGGCCTACCTCAAGAAACAAGAAAAATCTCAAACAATCTAACTTTACACCTAAAGGAACTAGAAGAAGAAGAACAAACGAAGCCCAAAGTTAGTAGAAGGAAGAAAATAATAAATATCAGAGCAGAAATAAATGAAATAGAGACTAAAAAGACAATAGAAAAGATCAATGAAACTAACAGCTGGTTCTTCATAAAAATAAACAAAACTGACAAACTATTAGCTAGACTCACTAAGAAAAAAAGAGAAGGCCTTGATAAATAAAATCAGAAATGAAAGAGGAGAAATAACAGATACTATAGAAATGCAAAGGATTATAAGAGAATATTATGAACAGCTATACACCAACAAATTGGACAACCTAGAAGAAATGGTCAAATTCTTAGAATCATACAACTTTCCAAGAATGAATCAGAAATAGAAAATCTGAATAGACTGATCACTAGTTCAGAGATTGAAACAGTAATCAAAAGGCTCCCAAGGAAAGTCCAGTACCAAACAGCTTCACAAGTAAATTCTACCAAATATTCAAAGATTTAATATCTATCCTTCTCAAACTATTCCAAAAATATGAGAAGGGAACACTTCCTAACTCATTTTTCAAGGCCAACACCACTCTGATATCAAAACCAGACAAAGACAACACAAGAAAAGAAGATTACAGGCCAGTGTCTCTGATGAACATGGATGCAAAACTCCTCAACAAAATACTAGCAAACCAAATTCAACAAAATATCCAAAGGATCATACACCATGATCAAGTGGGATTCTTCTAAGGACACAAGGATGGTTCAACATCCACAAATCAATATGATATACTACGTTAATAAAATGAAGGATAAAAACCATATGATCATCTCAATAGATGCAGAACAAGCATTTGACAAGATGCAAAATGAACTCCAGCTTTTCTACCAGCCCCTCTGACATACCTGCATGGCCAGAATTTCCAAGAGAAATTCTCGTAACTATAACCTGGTTATACGTTCTTTACACTGAATGGAAACAACTCTGGCTCACCTAAGGACAGACCTGTTCTGGTCCACAATGGATAGCAACACTTCAAGATCCAACTTACGCTCTCCTTCCTTCATGAATGTGCCCTAATGTAGCAGTATTTTAGCTGCCTGAAATCCATTTCTTCTTTTCTGATAAGGGCAACTGTGATATTGTGATTTATAATAAGAAATATATATTTTGTCTTCACCCAGTTCCTGGCATGGAGTGACTAAAACCTTGTAATTTCCTAAGTGTTGAGAGCAATCAAGGTGTCTTTTGTTATGTTAATGAGGTGGCTTTTGAAAAGCACCTAAGGATGGGGGCTTCTTATCAGGAGACCCAACCTGTGATTCCAGGGTTGGATCTTTCAGTCTCAACCCCCTGATCTTCAGGGAGAGGTGAGGGGCTGGAGGTTGACTCAAATCACCAATAGCCATGATTTAATCATTCTTGCCAGTGTAATGAAGCTTCCATAAAAACCCCAAAGGACAGGGTTTGGAGACCTTCTGTGTTGGTGAACACACGGAGGTGCTGGTGTTGCTGAAAATCTGGCCTCTGTTTACCAGTGCCAAATAGAAATGCGGAGACAGCTTTGGAGGAGTAAAAAAAGAACAGCTTTATTACTTTGCCAGGCAAAGGGGGATTAGGGTGTGTGCAGGGCCTTAGTTGGTCGGGTCTCCTAAGCTTTTCTTTTTTTTTTTTCCGGTACGCGGGCATCTCACTGATGTGGCCTTTTCCGCCGCGCAGCACAGGCTCTGGACGCGCAGGCTCAGCGGCCATGGCCCACGGGCCCAACTGCTCCGCGGCACGTGGGATCCTTCCGGACCGGGGCACGAACCCGCGCCCCCCGCATCAGCAGGCGGACTCTCAACCACTGCGCCACCAGAGAAGCCCGGGGCCTCCTAATCTTGATGAGTTTCTCTGGTCCCTTTAATCTTGCCTCAGGTGGTTTCTTGGCTGCTTCTCTCTTGATTAGCAACTGTTCAGATCTGCCCTTTGGAATTCAGGGAAGGTCATGGAGGCTGGACTCTGGTCTATAAGAAATGGGGGAGGCTTCCCTGGTGGCGCAGTGGTTGGGAGTCCGCCTGCCGATGCGGGGGACGCGGGTTTGTGCCCCGGTCCCGGAGGATCCCGCGTGCCGCGGAGCGGCTGGGCCCATGAGCCATGGCCACTGAGCCTGCGCTCCGCAACGGGAGAGGCCACAGCAGTGAGAGGCCTGCGTACCGCAAAAAATAAAAATAAAAAATAAAAATAGAAAAAGAAATGGGGGACAAAAAGAGGCCTCCGTGTCCCGGAGGCCCACAGGGCCCTGCTCAGTTTCACTCAGAGAGTGGTCAGCTGGGGACGCATGGAAGCTCGTCAACCTTTCCCTATGCCTTGCCCTATGCATCTCTTCCATCTGGCTGTGCTTGAGTTGTATGCTTTTATAATAAAGCAGTGATTTAGTAAGGAAAATGTTTCTCTGAGTTCTATGAGCCCCTCTAGCAAATTAATCCAACCCAAGGAGGGGGTCATGGGAACCTCTGATTTACAGCCAGTTGGTGAGAAGCACAGGTATCAACCCAGCTCTAAAGTGGCAGCTGAAGTGGAGGGCAGGACTGAACCCTTGTGGAATCTGATGCTCTGGGTTAACAGTGTAAGAATTGAGTTAAATTACAGGATACCCAGCTGGTGTCAGGGAACTGCTCCTTGTCAGTGTGGGAAAACGCCCTCCCTGACACACATACATTCAAATTGGTTCTAGAACCTTTCAGCAACCTCCCAAGAAGGTGAGGGCAACCTTTCTGGGAAACCACCCTTTACCTCAGTCCAGGAGCCTGGCTCCACATCCTGCTCCAAGGATGGAACATGTGGCCAATCTGATCAATTACAGTGCTCTGTATCCCCCAAGCTCTTTCCTCTACATCACCGAGTTTCAAACCTGAGTTACAGTGAACAAAATATGATGTGGAACCCCAATATTTTTAAAAAAACAAAGGAGAGTTGAAGGGAGTCAATGCCTCCAAACCCCACACTCCTGGCCTGCAGGTGGACAGACACTGTGCTCTCTGCACTGTGGGAAAAACAAAGAAATAGGACCCGGTGCCTGCTTGGAGCACCATCACAGTGGTGTTAGGGGGCAGGAAACAAAAGCACGAAAAGTTAATAAAGGTGATTAAATAATACTGGATAACAAGAGATGAAATGTCACAGAGCCCTTGCCACTCATCAGAAAAGTGTCAGAGGGCTTTAGGCCAGCAGTGAGATTTTATTGTCTCTCCCTTCTAAGGCCTACTCAATTGTCTAAGACAGGTGTCACCTCCCCCGCAGGAAGACTTTCCTGAAACACTCTCTTGCCTCATCATGCACACACTTACACATAAACACACACCCACTCAACTAGCCCACTGAGAGTCTCCCCTCAGGGTTTCTTAGCATCTTTGCACAGGTCTGTATATATTTTTTAAAATAAATGCCTTTCCCACAATTCACAGTAGAGGCTGTGAGTTTCTTCAGGACAGACAGTGGATACTGGGATGTGCACCGCCCCCCATTCTAATGAGACTCTTTCTACCCTCCCCTCTTTCTTTCCATCTCTCCTTCCAAGGGTGTCAGCCCTCTATGACAACCTAAAGGCTCTCCCCGCCTTTTCCTGCTCCCTCTCCCCAAAAATCTCCTGCACAGCAACTCCCATTTTAGCATCTGCTTCTTAGCAAATCCTAACACATTATAATAAGGAACTGCTGTGTACTACCAAATATATATAAACATTTATATATTTATATAAACATGTATTTATTTATAAAATATTATATAAAATATATTCAGAATACTGGCTTATTGGCTGACAATATTAACCCTAATGGCTTATATCTTTTGGGTGTTGAAATACTTAATTTTGCATATATTAAAATATGACTGAAAAAAAATACTAACATTGTCCCCTTGGAATATAATATTCTTTTTAACACTACAAAACAAATAGGTGTCACTAGGACTCTTCCTTCCTTCCTTCCTTTTTTGCAGGATAACAGAATAGCAGTTAATAGTAACAGCTCCCAGACTACTTGAAATCAAACTACGGCTCAACCACTCACTGGGTCTATGGCCTTTGGCAAATCACTTAACTGTCTAAACATCGGTTTCTGATCTATAAAATGGGAGAATGCGTCCTCATCTGTAAAATATGAATTAAAAAAATAGTACCCACCACACAGAACTGTTTTATGAATTCATTAATGCATTAATTTCTGGTGCTGTGTGCAATGAAAGAATTATCCTAATGGATATAAAAGCACTTTGCAAACCAGAAAGCACTTTGAGAAATTCATTTTTTTCTAAATGAAACAAGCATCAGCCATTGCCTTTTATGGAAAATTGAGGTTAATTCACATCAGCAAGAGAAAGCTGAGGACTTGTTTATGGCTGTGTTCCTGATTAACACAGCACTTGATATTAGAAAATAAACTCTTGACGTTCCTGCAAGTGGACCACAAAATACCTGTTGTTGCAGGGCCCTGGACAGAAGAAAAGTTAAGACGGAAAGGAGCCCAGGACGCGGAAGTGCTAGGAAAGGCCTAGCAGAAGAAGGGGGGCTGCAGCAGAGCCGAGCCGCGGGTGAGCACGCGCTGCGGGCACCCAAGTGCAAGTTCAGATGCGCGCAACTATCAGGAAGCTGCGACTGCGCGCCCATGTTCATTCAGGCCCCGGCGTTCGGGGGCCCCCTCAAAAACAGGGAGCTCCACCTTTGCCTAACGCTTTGGGAGCGCGGGGTGGCGCGGGGCGGCGCTACAGCCCCAAGGCCCCGGGGCGGGGCGGGCACGTGGTGCGCGGCCCCGGCGATAAAGAGCGCGGTTGGGAGCGCGGCGCGGAGCGGCGGAGGTGGACGAGCGGCGTCTGGGTGAGCGCGGCAACGCAGGCGTGGACTGACGGACGGACGGACGGATGGAGACTGACCGACAGCCAGGGAACGGGGGTAGAGGGCCGGGGCACTGGACTCGGCGGTGGGCGAGGCGCGAACGGCCGGACGCAAAGGGCAAGACAGGGGAGCTGGGAAATGGAGCCTGAGGAAGTGTGAACGCGACACCTTCCCGGCCCGGGCGAGTGTCTGTACGGGCGGGGTGGAGGGACCCACTCCCCTGGATTCTGTCCAGACCACAGAGCCGGGCCCTAAGGATCCTTTTTTCAAAATGATCAGAGGCAGCCACTGGGGGGAAGAGAGTTTAGTGATTAAGTGTGATACAATCCCTTCATTTGATGGGAAATTGTATTTCTGCATTTTTGTTTGTTTGTTTAGGTTCTCTATTTGTTTCTTCCTTTCCAAGTATTAATATTTCTCTCTCGAGTGATTCCTCATGCCCAGAGCTGCATCCTCCTCCTCCACCTTCCCCAGAGATTTTTTTTTTTAACTTTTCCCTTTTAAGAGAATTTGACTTAGGCAACCTGAATTCTTTGCACTAAGGATTCTTGTCTGTGGATAAAGGTGTAAGATTTCGAGAGTAATAGGCCCTGCCCAAGTGTTTCAGTAGTAACATTCTAAATTCTTATTAAGCCTTAGGCTGGAGAACATTCTATTTGCGGGTTTTTTTGTTGTTGTTTTTGTTTTTTTGCGGTACGCGGGCCTCTCACTGTTGCGGCCTCTCCCATTGCGGAGCACAGGCTCCGGACGCGCAGGCCCAGCGGCCATGGCTCACGGGCCCAGCGGCTCTGGGGCATGTGGGATCTTCCCGGACCTGGGCAAGAACCCGTGTCCCCTGCATCGGCAGGCGGACTCTCAACCACTGCGCCACCAGGGAAGCCCTCTATTTGTTTTTGATACAAACTATGACGAATTTGAAAGCGTAACATTACCCAGTTTTTATTTAAAACTCGAATTTACAAAATCTGGATCATTCTCAGTTACGATTGTTGTGATTTTTTACCCCATCTCTTCCTGTAGCAGTTTCACAGTTTACAAAGCCAGCAGTCTTTGCTCGTTTACTTGGTGTATTGCTCTGTGCAAAGACAGATTTTTGAAGCTGTTCTTGCCCCCTGATGGCTTACACTCTAGACGGACGAGCCAAAACTACCTTGCTAAATATCTCTTATGTAAAGTTTTTAATGAAAAGCAAATGTTTGAGGGAAGTCTGAAGAGTAAGAAGTTATTTTCATTTAGGGCATCAGAGAATGTTCTCTAGTTTTTAAGGTGAGTTCTGAAAGTTGGTTATACTGAAGGAACTGAAGTGGGAGATGTTGCCATTCTGGGTGGGAGAGCCGGACAGGCCAGCACAAGGTAGGTAGCAGTGGGGACCAACTGGGCTAGTGCATTTCAGGTGTGAAGACATCTGTATGGAGACCCAGACCATGGAATTTGGTATTTGTCCTGTGGAAGCCGGGAAGAAGTTAAATGGCCTTTTTCCGGCAGGGCAAAAGCAAGATCAGAAATGTCTGAGCTACTGGGCGGTTCCTCTGGCAGCCTGACTATTTTGAAGGAGAGAGTTGAGATTAGGACAGTGACTCCCAGACCCCATATCTTTAACCAATCAAACTGTATTTAAGTGCACTTAATTTGAGATATATGGATATCTATATCTATCTATCTATCTGCCAGTCCAAGCTTTTGACCATCCTAAGAATATCCTTGTAACTGCTCTAAATATGAAAGAAATGCAGCCAAAAGCACAAGAATATGGAAATCTAGGGTGTACAGCCTAGTACTTTTCAATTTAGGAGACTTTTAATGTGGAACCTAGCTCTCTGGACTCTTATCACTTGAACTTTCTTGAGTCCCTATGGGCCCCTTGGACATGGAGTTGTGCCCAATGGTCTAGATAAGAGGTAACAAAGGGTAAGTTAGGAGAGGGGCAGTAAGGCGGGAGAGAAGGATTGCAGGGAAAGAAGATAACAGTTGGAACTGAAATGACTTAGACTCTGAATAGAAAAGAGTAGCCAGGGTTGGGGAGGGGGGTACCAGTGGAGCTGAGATGACAGGAAAGAGTGTGCTGATAAAGGAATGCTACTTGCTAATGCCCTGTGGTCAGCAGACAAGACTTCATGGAGGGGACTGAACCTGTACTTACTATGTGCCTGGCACTGCTATTAATCATTCTACAAGAATTAAGTAATTTAATTCTCTCAACAACCCTGTGAAATATGATGCTTGTTATCCCCATTTACAGAAGGGGAAACTGAAGTACAGAGAGGTTAAATAACAGTCCCAAAGTCACCCAGCTGGTAAGTGATGGAGCCAGGATATAGGCCCAGGAAGTCTGTCTCCAGAGCTGGTGCTCTAACCCCTCTACTGTAAGGAGCAAAGGAAGAAATTGTTTAGAAGACCAGGTGGCAGGTTCGCTTTGGGCTCTCGAGTTGAGGTGCATGCAGGAAGGCCAAGGGAAGATGCGCAGCGGGCACAACATCAACCTCATTTGATGCTCAGACCTTCCTCTGGGGTAGACTGGGCCTGTGTTATTGGCCTTGCATTTTCCCCATGGGCCAGGTGATTACATTTCTCTTCCAAAACTTCCAACAGGAGTTAGTCTCATCTTCAAACTAGGAAAAGTCAGAGAAACCCTAGTATCCTATATATCTCTTAAGGTTCCCCTTTATTCCCCTTCAGTACAGAGCAAAGCTACTTGAAGGATTTGGGCTTAATTTCAGGAGCAAGCCTCACCAGGGATGTATCTGTTTATAAGGGGAGGTATCATCGTTGGCCTTTCACAAAAGCAATAAGTTTTGCCACACTGTACCCTTTCATGTTTTTGTCCTTGTTCTGCCCTGTTTCTAGCTTCAAGGGCTCACCTGAGCCAGGACTCTTGGGAGATACAGAAAAAGTAGAAGGAATGATCTCTACTCTGGAAGTTTATACTCCTATTTGGGGAGATGAGATTAACAGTTACAAAGAACAAACAAAATGAGATAGTTCATAATTATTACATTATGTGGGTAAGATGTAAGTTGCTAGTGGGCATTTGTGTTTTTAAATGTGCCAGTGACCTCAGAACTATAATATACCCTCTCTGGTATTTTCTCTAAGCCAAACATCTTTTGTACAATTGTCACCAAATACTGTCTGATTATATTTTATTTTCTTCTTCAATTGTTAGACTTTGCATTTGTGGCTTCGAATTTTCATGTCCTACAGCTCAAAAAATAACAATTCTTCTATAACTAGTTAAGTGGCAGAGCTGTGGTTTGAACCAGGCAGTCTACCTATGGAATGCAGGCTATTAACCAGGATGCTCTGTTGCCTCTCATTGCCTGTTGTGGGCAACTTCTTGGCTTTTTTTACGCTGGTTGTGGACAGGTACACTCTCTGCCAGGTGGTGAGGGATGCTTTTGCCTCAAATGAGTGTTGCCAGGTTCACTGTCTCAGAAGCGATCTCCCCATCTGTGGAAGTCGTCATCAAGCTACAATCTGAACACCTCATTCAATCACCCATATATTCATCACTTTTTAATTGAACACGAGATTTCCAGCAAACCACTCAGTGCAGAGAAAACAAAGGCAAATGAAATCTGTTTCCTGCCCTGGGGGAGCTTGGTCTAGTGGGGGAGAGGTGAATAAATGTTTGTGATGCGATTTACTAGAGCTAGGAAAAAACAGGGAAAAACTGGTCAAAACCAGCATATGAAAGGATAGTTAGGTAAATCTGAAGATTGTCTTGTAGATCACACTGAAGCCTTAAGACTTAAGTACTGATTTTAGGGGAGATTCTTGCTTAACAGTATGAAGGTATAGAAAGAGATAAGAATGTCTCTTTTCTCCTGACCATATTTCAACTTGAGCAGTAAGTAATTTTTTATATATTCGACCTCGCTGAGTTAGGTTCTTTCTTCTGCTCTTATTCACCCCTGCTCACTGAGGTTTCAGATTGCCTCAGTCATCCATATAGATAAAACAGGAGGCCTTTCCAATGGTATTTTCCCAGAACATTGCTCTCTTCTTGTCTCCAAATCTCCTGTCTTTAAAATATAGTTTCCTCCTCTGTAAAATGAAGCTGTCACATTTTACATTCTTCTCATTTGCTCTGTGTGTTTGTATACTTGTAAGCATTTTTCACAGTTCTAAACTTTGTGGGAACGGACTTTGACCCGGAGTTTTATCATTAATTGACATTCCTAGAAGAAGGAGAGGAATTACGCTGTATGTTTTCCAGACTTTTTCAGCAGCTCAATGGCCTCCCCGAAGAAGAAACTTCAAGGTCTTGTTGCTGCGACCATCACGCCAATGACTGAGCATGGGTAACTATGGTTTGGGACTAAAGGGATCTCCCTCCACCCCAATGGTCAGAAGGTCTCTATAGCAGCGGTCGACTAGACTCTGCAGCTTCTTCTGCCCCTGCACTGTCTCTGACCCCAAGTCAGAGAAGAGGTCTCTATTTCACAAACAGTGCAGAAGGAGACGAGGTAAGATACGGCAGCTTGCCTTCCTCCCAGTGTCTGTAGCCCCACAAAGCAAATTCTTGCATTTCAGCAGAGCCCTGGCCTTCCCAAATAAGGCCAGTGGAGTTGGGTGAGGAGAATCTCATTTTAGCAGGATTTGATATCAAGTTCTGGCCTCTAGATCCTGTCTCTAGACTGTCCGTGGACGTGATGAAATTGTCCTACCATGAGGAAAGTGGGGAAGGTAGCTGCCAGACGGCCCCCTTAGGCATGTCTTACAGTCACATTTCAACATTGGTTAAATGTTTGGGAGCTTGCAAGAGGGAGGTAACAGCAGGTGATTGCTGAGAAATTGTTACCCAAGCAAGCATTTTCCAGTGAATATTATGGCGGTCCCTTTGCTGGTACTAGCAGTTAGTGGTCATGTGCCCCGGGCGTCCATGAGCAATATATAACTCCCCCCCTGGACATTGGCATTAATAAGTTGGGGATTCATCCACCATCTGGATCTAAGTGTTTTAACCTGTTAGAGGAGTCAGT